AATGTTATTCATGTTGGTTACAACAAAGCTATAAATCATGAGGAAAATAATTGATAAAATAATAAGCCTGTTAGGAAGTTTTAAGGGCATATCAAGACATTACCTGCGGACAAACTTACCTTTGAAAGATAAGCATGAGAGAGGAGAGACTCTATTTGCTTACAATCTGGGGATTTTCTGTGGTTGATAAAAAGGAAAACAGCCTTTCAGAAATGTTAGAAGGGCTCAGAATTTATATTTGTGATGAAGCATGTCAGAGAAAATCTTACATTTCAAATGCTTTTATGGGGGCAAATCATATTTAAAAATTATGTCTTAGCACATTGCTCTATTTTCTTGCTGAATTCATCTGTCCTGAACTACACACGGGGACTACAGAATTCAGTTGTAAAGATTTAACTTGCACATAATTTTATATCCATAATGAAAATTCTAAAGGTTTCATATATTACAATGCTTACTGTGATAAATAACTGGACTTTAATAGTTGCTGTGAGTAAATAAATATATAAGAGAATATTAACTTTATCTATTATAAGCATTTGATCATATCTAAAATGTAAATTGCATTCTTAAATATTGACCCATAATACATTTAACTTCTTACTCTTGTTGTTTTGGGTCCTGTTTTGTTCCTTAGAAAGTACTTAATTACCTAAAAGAATTTAATTCTATATTAATTAAGAAATATTTAATAAGTCCCTAATATGTGTGCCACAGTCTGCTAGGCATTCTGAAAATGCAAGAGTTTTAGATTCTACCACAGAGAAGCTTGCATGTTATTTGGGGAATAAGCACAGAAAAGATAATAAGGATCCTATGTACAATCAGTGACAAGAGTTTGGTCAAGGATGATTGCCTGAGGAATTTGGAAAGAAACGGGGCAATGTTGGAGATGAAATTTTATTAAATCTTGGGAAATAGATAAATTTGGTAGGCAGCTAGGAAGAAAAGTAATTTCAGGTTGGTGAACACCTTGAGCCAAGATGTAGAAGTGAGTGTGATTAAAGTACATTCACACATATACCCAGTAGGACTGTTTTGATTGCAAATCAGGAAAACCCAAACCAAACTGGCTTAAGCAAAAAGGAAATTTTTTATTTTATAAAATCTGGCTTTAAAGATGAGTTAGATTCAGCACTCAGTCAGAATTTGGTGTATTTTCATCCCTCCACTCCCCATCCTTGTGTTGGCTTTAGTTTGGAGCTTCATGTAGTATCAGGATGTGGGAAGTCACTCTAGGCCTACTATCCTCCCCAAGTTGGGATTCATTATAAATATGAAGTCCCAGTAAAAGTCTCCTTAAGTTCTCTCAGCTGGGTTGAGTGCCCATCCTTCCAGTCATGGGTACTGAGGAATGCGAGGGCCTCAGGTTTGCTCCTGGGTCACCAACCCACCTGGCCCCATCTCAGAGACGGGGGTAGGATCACCTTCATGAGAACCACCGAGTAAGGTAGTAAAGGAAGTCCAAAAAGAAAATGAGGAATGGTTAACCTAGACAGAGTAAATGGATGCTGTGTAAGAAAATCAAATGAATAACAGTGAGTATGCTGATGTTATTGTATCATTTTGATTAATAAAAGAAACTAGACACTGGAAATGTTTTTTAAATATATTTTATTGATTTTTGACAGAGGAAGAGAGAGGGATAGAAAGTTAGAAACATCGATCAGCTGCACACCTCCTATGGGGGTTTTGCCTGCAACCAAGCAAGGTACATGCCCTTGACCGGAATCAAATCTGGGACCTTTCAGTCCGCAGGCCGACACTCTATCCACTGAGCCAAAGCGGTTAGGGCTGGAAATTTTTATTGTAGGCATGTTGTGAATGTTATGATAAAGAAATGGACTTTATGAGAAATTCTAAATAAATCAGACCTAAGGGTCAGCTGTGTGTCAGATGGACTAGGGTTTCAGTGCTCAGGAGGCAAATGCTGTGACCCCTGTTGCACTTTCCTATATTTCAAAAGCACAGACTTTGTAGATATCTGCTGTGTGCCATGAACTGTGGAGAGCACAAAGAGGATACCCAAAACTTGATCTTGCCCTCCAGAGTATCTACAATGTAACCAGAAAGACAGTAGATTAGAGTTAACTATGACCTAGGCAGGATACATAGTGATAACTGTACCAGGTTTCAAGGGAACTCATGGAAGGAAGAAGTATTTAAAACCAGCCACAGTCTATGGAGCTGGAAGCAGAGTGAGTATGAGGAGAAGCCTGTGGAAAATAACATCTTCTGGAGCATCTTTGAGAGCATGTCAGTTGGGAGTCTTAAACATTAATTATGTGACTTTTGAGAATATTGAAAGAACTTGGGGGAGTAGGAAATTGCCTCTCTGTCATCACACTCATGGCTCCCTAGGAATTTACAGGTTCAAAATGGAATTGTATGTACAATGGATCCTGGCATGCAGACCTTGGCCTGGAAAGGCAAAGCATTGGACAAAGAATGCTTTATAAATTCTCTTTCACTTCTTTAAGTCTATAAATGCAATAGAAATAGCCACCACATCCTTATTCCATGACATGTGATCATGACATGATATTCTCCAAAAAAATAATTGATAAACTGGCTTATATGCCACCTGAAAGCACAGAGGCATTTAAGCACCAAGTATCACCTACAAATATGAGCAATTATAAAGCTACTAACTACTGAAATTTCTAGGAGTGGCAAGAACTGGCCACTTAAAAGGAATTGGGCAAGGGTTCTCTAAGCAGAGGGACAAATAAGGAAGAGAATAGGATTGCCCTTATAAAGATGTAGGAAAATGAAAGTAAAACTGAGGGGAAAGGGACTATCCCAGCATGGACACAACACTGTCACCAACTTCTGCATAAACAACATTTTGGTATTTGTAAAGAAATGAACTATTTCAGTGGCTGAAGTCAAGAGTGTGACTTGATGTAACTGAGTATTATGGGGAAATGAGTTAAATATGGAGAAGATGCCAGTGAGAGTGGGGGAGGGGAAGACTGAGATAAGTTCTAATATGAGATTTATTTTGCATTGGCCTGCAGTTACTTAACTTTAAAACAATATCTTATACCAAATTGTAAAGAAAGAAAGAGGCAAAAACCAACCCTTCCGTTTTTGGCCATCTTAGCTATGTAGAAGGCATTTGCATATCTATCTTTCCTACAGCAACTCTGGGAGAGTGGGAAGGGTTTAGGCCTACTCCTCATTTAACTGAGAACAGAGTGAATGGTTCACACAGCCAGCAGTGCACAGAGCAGGACTCAAAATCCCTACCTACAAGTCTAGTATGCACTTCCTCCCCACATCCTAAAGCCTCCATTCACTAGTCAGTATTAAGTCCAATAACAAGGACTTTTTCTTTCTCAAGAAGATAGAAATAGAAATATTTTTTTTATGAGCACGAGAAGAGTTTATATTACTCTTGGATTAATTACAGAATGGTTTTGATGTAAGTCAGACTAAAGACATGTCTGTTTTTTGCACAAACGGGTATTTTTAGGTTGCTTAGAAAGCAAAACATCATGTGCTGTGACTTTACAGTGTTTTAAATAAAGTTAGGAATTTGAGTTTATGATGCTAGAAATAACATAAAATCAGTGGGTATAAAATTTGACAAGTAAAAGAATGAAACATAGACATTTCAACAAATCAGTTATTGAATAATTGTATTAACAATCTAGTGAAATGAGAAAAGAATTATTAAACTTTATCTTCCTCATTGAGTCTATAAAACTGTTATTCAATTTGTGGACAGTTTTAAAGCAGCACAGCTCAACCTAATGAAGCCATTTACTCTATCGGTTCTACACGCTGCCTCTTTTTTCTTCTTTATTAGTTCATATCAGAACTTTGATTGCCCTACTTTAGATCTAAGATTGCTCTAATGCTATACTGCAGTTGTATGAGAGGTGTAGTTTTCACTTTGTTCTCAGAACCAGGCCAGCTATAAATTTATCTCTGTTCTTTGAAGAAGCTAATAGTAAATTTTCAAGAGGAAAAAATGGTGGTATATATCCCTGTAGAGGATAAGTAATCTCTTAAAAGCAGAATAACCTCCAGGCTACATGCTTTTAAAAAGTGACTTTCAAACAAGGATGCCTTCACGCTTTTATATGTATTCTATATTTTTCATCAGGTTTTGTACCTGCTCTTTTGCTCTCTGTGTAAGGCTTTTCTGTAATGACCCCATTCCTCTCACACCCATTAAATCTGTAATGAAGTTATGCCTGCTGTTCTCAGTTCTGATGTCATAATAGCTTCCAGAGTTGTGGCTGGATCGCATAGCCTGGGGATCGTCTGAGGTTCCTCAGGAAAATGAGGACTAGAAACCAGGAGCTGGAATACCTACGGAACTGAATCTTGATTTCATAAATCACCACATACTATGATGAAAATGAACTTTGCAAAGTAATATCCTTGGAAAGTTTCCATTTGCAATTTTCAATTTCAGACATTGGTTTCATTAAAATTAAAACAATTCTTCCCAGAGATTCAGCCAAACTCCCTCATCAGCAGATAATAAGATAATTTAGAAGGAGTAGGTGCTAAAATAACAGGATGAGCTTGTGGCTCTGTTTCCATGTCTGACAACTTCATCACTTTTTATCTTTATTATACACTTGCCTTGAGCTGAGTGATGATGAATGAGGCAAGTCTGGTATCCTCAAATGATAGACACATAGGCCTGGGATGCCCATTTACCAGGGGTCTCTGGCTGAACAGGTGCCACCAGAGGTCATGGCTGTGGAGTTAGGAGAAGTATGGGGGGGATTTGGGGGGACTGAACCCACAACATCATCCATCCTGCCTGTGCCTGCTGATGTCATGATCAAATGCTCTTAGCAGCTACAACTTGGGGAGCAGAGAATTCTCCAACAGTGGTAATTGTTGTCAACAAAAGTAAGCCATAATGTATAGGTTAATTTGGCCAGGGTATTTTCCCGACCTCAAATGTTTCAGTTTCTTGTGCCCTTTCCTTCAGCCTAATTGTCCTCTTTCTCATTTTATGCCCCTGCTAGACCACCGCTCTTGATAAGGAGAGGCAGGTTTTCCGACGAAGATGCAACCAGGATGTGAGGAGCCGATACAAGGCACAGTCAGCTCCACCCGAATTCAACTCGGAATCTGAAGACTACTCCCCAAGCTCATCCGAGACTGTTCGCTCCCCAAACTCGCCCTTTTAATAAGACCCTTTTACTCGAAGTCCTAGCTTAACCCCTTGAGACTCTCTGATCCCCCCCCAAATTATGTAAAACAGTTTCATCTGATCTATCTAGCACTCAGAAACAGAACATGTGTTTTCTGGTACCTTTGTCATAATTTCCCTTTGCTGAATGAGAGATGTTGTTTGTGAAGATGGCAACCTGCTGCTAATAGATCCTCAAAGGGTTAAGTCTACTTTGCAACTTTTTAAAATTTAAAAGCAATGAATATTTTCATCAAACTAGGATCTGCAGTATGTAATAAGCACATGTTAACCCTCTGAGTGCATGGCTTGTGGAGACCCCTTAGGAAATTTTCCAGGCCTTTGGACGTATAGACACATTTCTTGATTTTGCTGCAGATTGAGGGGTGTTTTTAGATGCCGCAATATCCAGAAAGAAAGGCACCCAGAATGATATCTTGCTTGTCCTTTTCTGTAGGTTTAGATCATAACCGTTATATAACTTAGGCATAAACACCCCTTTCTTCTTCACAGTCCTATTTAGAAAGAGACTTTTCTCATTAGAGGTATGACTTTCAGCTGCCATGAGTTCTACATCCCAAGTGGAGGAAATTGGGCCTGTGGCAAACAGCCTGGTCCACAAAAGAGATGGTGCCTGCCCCCTCCCCCCAGAACTGGCTCCATATGAAGATGTGTTGATATCGCTCCAGAAATGCTCCTTCCACATCAGCTGCTGCTAGTGCCAGTGCAGACCCTTGGGAAGGCACCACATACCTTGTCTTGTGCTTGGTGAGGGAGGGTCTACCTGCTTAGTATGAGCCATCTACAGGGAAAAAAACAACAACAACAACAACAACAAAAAAAAAACAACTGGTAGAAAAGAGCAATAAATTGCCAGGTGCTCTATAGGGCTGGAATTTCAAACAGAAAGAGGAAACGAGACCCTGGTCTTTTTCTCACCTGCTTTTCCATGGACTACTGCCTTCAGTGTGAAAACTATAGAATATCAAATCCATACACAGGAGTGCTGGGGCACAGGAGACCAGAGGCAAAATGTTTTTGCAAGGTAGCCAAGGAGAAAGCACAGTGAGAAAACAATCTAGAATTTTTTTTTAAAATGGGTTTTAAGGAAATAAAACACTGATAAGATCATTTCCTGTGTACCTTTAGGTTTTCTACATATGTTCTCCTAGGAAGAACACGTTAGGAGAACTGGAAGATACCACTGAAGATAAAACTTCTATTCCCTCAGGTGCCCTTTTTATATACTGCTGAATTAGCTATCTAGAGGGACATGTTATTTTTCTCTCTATGGGCCAAGTCCTGTCTGACACCTGAATTGTCACTCCTGTGGCAAAACCTTGATTCCTAGCCCTGTGTCTCCATTGAGTTTCTTCTGGCATGTGTCACATTTCAGTGGGGGCCTCCTGTGCTTTACTAGTACTGTGATGCTTAGAGAAAAGGCTAACCATGGCATCTTGGAGGCAAGGACCCAACTCAAATGTCCTCCTAAGGTTTGCTCAGCTTTGTGATCTAGGAGACAATCAAAGAGTGAGGTCTCAAAATTTGCATATGTAGAGCTGAACAACACTTACTGCCTCTGTTTTAAATATATTTCAATATCAGAAGGTCTTCAACATTTCTGTATTTTCACGTTTGTCTTTAATTGCTGCATTTTACTCTTTAACTCATAAACTATGGCCTATGTTATAGATTTTAAGGTCCTACCATGTCATGATTTTTACAATATAGTTCCCTCAATTTTTTTGCTTTTCTATATTTAGGTTTATTTCTTTAGTCTGTGTTGTCCTGACATATAAGCAGTAGATTATTTATTAAAAGTTTTCCCCCCTTTATAGAGTCCTGAAATGACAGCATACGATATCACAAAGTAGCACAACTCAGTCAGATTTTGGGGTTGGGGTGAGGTCAGAAAACCAGGAAAGGTGTTGGTGTGTAGAAAGATTCCACATCAGTGAAGTACCCAGAACTATTCAGAAATACTGCTTTGTCTAGAACTATAAAGTAAAGCACTATTCTAAGTAACACTGGAGTAGCCATATTACTTGGCTTCAACTCTAAATGTGTGACTATGAAGAATCTTATGAGCAGAGACCTACCTACAGTATATTGTCACTTTCCTTTCATTCTCTGAATTACATTATATATGTTGGTATAACATTTAGTGTACAGAACTTACAGTGCATGTGAGCCTTTTTTTACCCAAGTGTTGGGAGACTGTGGACCATGTGAAGCTGGGGAGTGTTTCCCAGCACACAGCAGAGAACAGCTCAGAAGAATATATGGCTCATTCAGCATGGAGAGCCCAATGCATTGCTGAAGAATTTGTGATCTATGCTGGATAAACAGTATATATGATCTGTCAAGTAGAAATGTTGAGTAATCAGATGGAATGTAATCTTTTCAGCATTAAGCTGTCAAGATCCTGAATATCAGAAATGTACTCAAAGGGTTAACAGACAAGCACAAGGCATGCTGATTACACTGGTATATTCAGACTGCTTTGCTTTTAGCCAATGCTTTCTAAATTTTTTTTTCATGACATTCTTGAGATAGTTCAAGTTTGAAATAATTAAGTGATGGTGTTCTTTAAGGAATTTCTATAACCAAATTGACTTTTTTTTTCACTTCATCATAGAATAAATATGTACCATTATGGGATTGTACTTCTGTAATTATCACTTTAATCATTGCCATAAGTGTTTCCATATTTTTTTCTAAGTATTTAATATAGCTCTTATGGTGTTAGTATGGTGATGGGATTGTCTTTCCTTTATTAATACATAATTAGCCATATGGTATTTTCAAGGAAATTTTAAGATTCAACTTTTCAGTTCAGTAGTAGACTAGTTAAGAAAGCGCTTTCATTACTTGCATTGTGTAAATCATCTCTGTAGATGAGAACTGTTTGTACTGATGAACAATTTTTTGCAACATTGTAGCAGAAATCATTTTATTCATCACAATCAATGAATATGTGGTTTTCTCCAATTCATTAGAAGGAAAAGTAAGATTTCAGTCATTGAAAATGTTTCTACAGTAGCCCTCATCTAACTTACACATGGTGCATATTAAAATAAGCAGAGAAAAAATGCAAATAAACTACTAAAAATGCTTGGTGTTTTGTATTCCATGAGACCTCATGCAACTGTTCAGTAACCCCCTGGATTGTGGTTAACAGCCCCATCAGATATTGTTGGAAGAAAGCAATATATCCATGAAGAAAGGCTAAAATGGCAATCCTTTAACCTTTGAAGTATATTGCAGTTGGAAAAAGAGAAGAAAGAAAAATTGGCTTAGCTTAGAAGGTCACAGAGCTACCAAGTCACAAGGCTCATACTATTAAATCACAGTGGTTTGTTGGCCAAGGGCACCCATTCAACAACTCTTCCCTGTGGTAGTGCTTGAGGGAGAACTTTGTTAAGTTAGCCCTTCTCAGGGTAAAAAATCTCTTGAATTTACATGATTTCAAAGGTTTTTAATTGAACCATAAAAAGGTGCCCCAGCTGGTTTGCTCTAGAAGGCCTGTGTCAGAATGAAGGTTTGCTTCCTCCTTATCTCTGCCCAGTTCTCCTGAGAAAATAACAACAACACCAGGTATGTCTTCTCCTTCACTGAGATTTCAGAAGCTTGGAAAGTACCAAGATCCAAGATGGTGGTTTTAATGCATCCATTTAGATGTATGTTTCAAAAAAATAATGATGCACTTGGCATATATTATAGATAACATATCTTTTTTATAATTTGTAAATCACTACATTTTTAAGTCTTAGATGATTTTTTTTCTCAATCAAGTTTTTAAAAACTTGAAGTTGGTCAGTTCAAAGACTCGCTTTTCCTTTGTGTTATCTGCCACCTGCATTAGGAGTTGGGAAAAGTACTCTCAGATGAACTCTTACTTTGCATGTAGTGATAGAGGGTCAGATATATGCTTTTTTGGGAAATATGTATATCTTTACTTAATCATCAAGTTTCAGGAAGCCATTCTAGTCTGTTAGAGAAAATAGTGATTCAAAACACTTCCAAAAATAACACTTTTGTTGATTCAGATATGATCAGAAGAGTGTCAATTAGCACACTTTAAAGTTTTGTTGCTTTAAAGCAAATAAATCAACACCACTTGAGGACACACTAAACACTTGACCCTTGCAAATGTGCTTTTAAAATGGCTCAATGGTGCTTATACATGACACAGTAATAAATGGGGTCCCAAGGACTATCACAAGATTCTTTAATTTTTGTGTAATTATGTATTTGAGGTGGAGGTGCTTTTAAGCCAGTCTTTCACTTTTTAGTATCTCAAATATGCAACCATACATTGAGTAACATTAAAGGTTTTAAACTGGTGAGAAACAGGAAAGTCAATGTAGAGACTTAGAATGCTTCTGGTTGGGGTGGGCTTCTCTTCTCCTTGGTTTTGTCTCCCGACCCCCATCCCTATTGCTGCTGCTGCTGCTTCTGTTGTTGGGTTTCACACTGAAGTTGTAGTGATCATTTCTCAGTGAGGGAGTTCCTAATTGGCAGCATTTTGATCGTGAGGTTCATGATATCTTGTCCTTGGAGACAAGTGAGAGATCTCATTTATTTCTTTTTCCCTAAAGGAAAAGCAATCTTTACAATTAAAATAACCTGCAAATTTTCTCAACATTCTTTTTTGGTCAACTGAAGCAATATTCTTAATGTTGCTTCAATGTAAAATTGTATATTTTTATCTGTGATACACTTTATTAATTTAAATAAATAATAGTTCTACAAGCTTTCACATTTGGTATCAAGAGAAAGTAGGACTTTAAAAGTGATGATAAAGATGCTATAATGTCAATACATTCCAGTCCAATTCATTGTGGTAAAGAAAAAGACCTTGAAGTTCTTTAGGGACAATTTTTCACTTGCCATTGACATTAATCTTTGATGTATTCTCATAAAAAAAAATGAGAAGAAATTGAAACCAGTCCAAGGTTAGAGTCATAACTTCTATAACTTTTAAAAATGTTTTAT